ATAAATTCACTTTTCACAATTTCACTTTAAAAAAGGCCAAATTATCTAACCGTAGCACACATCTGTGATGGTCTGGTAGTGAACCACTTTAAACAAACAAACAAAAAAAAGGACTGTAATGATTTTACTTATATTTAACAATATTTGGTAAAGCTAAAAATACAATAAAAGACTTGAAAAATAAAAAATGTTTATCAGTTTGTGGCACTGGTCTTGTGCAGTGCTGCTAGGTGGATTTATTTTTGTAAATGTCTACATATTATACTCATCAGGAAGAAAGTAAAAGTATGAGCACAGGAGTGTGTGGACAGTTAACAAAAGGGAAAAAAGAAATCTGTGTGAACAATGTCTGTTTGAGATAACAACAAAACACAGATTTTGTGAATTAGTGTTTAATTTAAATACAAACYTCTTTCATTCTGCAAAAGATCTGGGGTGTTCGGCTAACTGGATGAGTGATTGTGCTCATTGTGTGAAGGACGTTTTGTTTTCAAAACTGCCTAAAGAATTGTTAAAAAAAAGACTTCAATGAAATTTATTCTTAAATATTCACAACTTGCTGAAAACAGAGGGTAAAAAACACTTCAGCTGTGATTTTCTTTTACCGTTAATCTAAATTATTTGCACAAACAAATGGTTTTCAGATGAATWGTAACACTTTGTCATTGCGTAGTAATTTGCAAATGTTTATACTTGTGGAAAACAACTGAATTCACCTTCAGTATGAAAAACCCTCAGGCTTATATTCAGAACAATGTTGTTCTGATTAAGGTCATTGTAGTTAAATAATAGGTCCTGAAAAATACAYCGGTCCTACTTGAACACTAACATAAAGCTGAAAAAGTCTGTTTAATCTGCGAGCGCCATTTGTCTTTCTGTTCTCAGTAACATTTCTCCACAGCTGAAAGACTTTCCATATTTTACGTTTTTCATTTGGTGTAGAGTAATTTCTTGAATCCTGTAAGTCTGCCTGAGCTTTGCTTATTTGGATCCACAATGTRTAATCTTTTATTTTGTTGAGAGTCATACAGTAAATCTAGTAAATATGCTGATGTTTCCAAAGCTTTGAGCTGGAAACAATATATTCCACAATAACACAACATTCATTATGACTTCCTTCTGTTTCATCTGCTTTTATAGGAACATTACTGACACACTGAGACAGGAAGATTGCATTTTCTGAACAACAATGAATATTTAAATGTGGGCAATCAGAATATTGGATTTAGTTTTGTTTAGTCATTTGAAGACGAGTAAGCAGAATGAAAGAACTGAGTGCAATAAATAAATAAATAAACATTTGATATTAGTCAATCAGAAAGCAGGCAGAAATGCGTATTATGTTAAAGTCTCCTGTAACAAAATGGTTATTAAATTACAAAAAAAGATCTACAGTAAAACATGAAAACAAAGAACAAAAAGGGTGACACTCAATGTGACACGAATCAAAACAAGTTCAAAGAAGGTCGAGATAATAATGTGTTTGGTGAACTTTGACCTGTCTTGTCATTGACTTCCTAGAAATAAAAGGCCGACTACCAGAGGTGTATAAAGTACTTGAAAAAAGTAACTGTGTGCAAGTAAAATTACATTGACAGAAAATGACTTTGATAAAAATGAATTCCACAGCTGTGTTAACAGGTTCCACTAAACCGAGTTGAGCAAATGTAAAGCAGTTTACTCAACTCGGTTTAGTGGAACCATTTGATATATATTTGTTAAGTAAACTCAGGACTTAGTTTTTTTAGAGTGAATAAACAACTATTTTCATGGTGAGTACATGTCATATTTAAAATTGTAGCATTTCAAAAGGCATTAAATTTTAAAGTAAATAAGTAAAAGTGTCATGTAAATGTTTTGAATGTAAGAAAGTAGAAGTAAAAGTCACATGTTTAAAAAAATTTGGTAAAATTACAAATCCTTAAAATAATGACCCAAAAACTGTAATGAAGTAAATGTGCTTTGCTAATATACACCTCTGTAGCCATCTTGTCAAAACTTGCACAATAAATATTATGAGTGACCTCATGAAAGTGTAAGATGTGTTAGCACCCATCAACCCTTTGTTACTACCACATCAAGTTTTACCAGCCAATATCTGTAAACAAATAACAGATTTGGGTTGACACACACTGCTGACCTCACAAAATAATAAAAATATAAATCATGAAGGTAAAATAATCTGCTCAATCTTTCTGAAGCAAACAGGAAGAGGAGTGCTGTTCAAATAAGATGCAGATGTCCTCTTGGCTGCTCTGTCTGCCGGGGAATAATCGCAGCTAACCATCTAACACACCGTCAATAAGACACAGCAGACGGATCACATACTGAAGAGAGAGCACTGGACCGTGAAGACAACCAGCTTCCAACAACCTCCCCCCACTTAACACACTCCCATCATTGCCTAAATTTAATCCCACAGACATGACATGTGCAATATGCTGCAAATCAGCAGAGATACTGTCGCCACGTCAGCTTACACGCAGTACCACTTTTTTGCAATTGCTATCACCCATTGCTGAAGAGAATAGTGGAGCGATAATGTTTTTACTTGTTTCTGTGTGTATTTGTTCATATCGTAAGCGTAATATCACCTGAATCATTCAAAAGATTTTAATGAAACTTTGACATTAACTACTATCACCTCTGCTTGTCTGTTAGCAAAAAAAATCTTATGAACACGAGCATCTGTGGCTGAGTGGTTAGGGGAGTCGTCTTCTAGTGCAAGAGCTGGTGGTTCGATWCTAAGTGTCCTTGGGCAAGACACTGAACCCCCATTGCCTTTGATGTGGGTTTCCCATCATTGTATGAATGTGATCTAAAGCACTGACTATTCTCCATAGACTGATTTATGTAGAGAMATTTGGTAGAGTGGTGTGTGGATGAGGGTACAGATTGTTGTGTGAAGCAATTTGAGTGTCCTGGTTGGCTAGAAAAGTGCTATAAGTACACCCTATTTACCATTCTAATGAAACTTTTAGAAATGAACCAATTTATGTACATCTAGAACTGATTACGTTCCGAAATAAACACATTTCAACCGATCCTGAGAAGCTTAGAACACTGTTTCTAACCTTGTTTCCTTCATCCAAGGGACGTAAAGGTTTGATTAAAGCTCTTTTTGGGGAGAGCAATGGGTTCTTTATCCATCCCCACTCAACATAACTATAAACCATAAAATGAGCATCATTTCCAGTTCCGTATTTTAGCACAACACAAAAGGCAACGCCTTGTCAACTGCTGCAGCCAACCCTTTTTGTCTGTTACTAAAATATCTTGTTAAAAACAATGGATTTCAACAAAACTCTCAGAACGTATCCTTGCAATCTACCACTGATTAACTTTTTGAGTCAACAGGAATCAAGAAGACTGCCACAACTAACCATTCAACAGTGGCCATACCTCAGTGAACTTTACAAATCATATCATTTACAGTGCATACTTCAAGCACTAACAGATCATGCATAAGTACACAAGATACCATGCCAGGTTYTGCATATTACTTTTAAGGTTTAACTAAAATATCTACACTTCATTGTTTAGTCTAAAACTCTGAAATGTGAAGATGTAACCTCAACYTYTGRTTTTAATTAAGGAAATATTTATAGGCAGGAGTTCAATATTAATACACCTTATGTATTGTATGCATCAGGCATGCAGTTTTGTACAGAATAGAACAGCAAGTGTTGTGTTTTTATTCATGATTATATTTGGGCCAAACTCATCTGACTCCGGGCGCATCTCTGTGCAAGGCTCTGATTATTTATGAGCTGGACTATAGTTCGGCAGGCACTGGGGCGCTAAGAGTTAGCAGGGGGCCACAGCCAGGAAGCATGATTCACTGACAATTTTTGGAGTTTAAATCAAGCCCACAGTGGGAGGCGTGTGAAAGAATAGACGCATGCCATCAAGACAGACAGGCACCGAACATTGATGAACACAAAAACACACAACCAACCTGCATATATCACTGTCAACCAGGTAAAGATAGGCATCACATACTTGTACTGCAGTCTTGTGAGGAGAACAAGGGGCTCTGAGGAGTTCTTATCAACACATGGCAGTTACCACTGACGTATGGTCGTGTCGTTTGGGSCAAATGGATGAAGAGACAAACAGGGSCTTTCATCAGTGGCACTATAATGCATTAAGAGAGCTATCAGAGCAAGACAGAGGATATTAAAAGTGTAAAAGGAAATGTCAGCACTGTAGAGCTTCATGTAACATGTAGCATAGTCAGCTGACTGCGGGAGATAAACTATACCAGGAAATGAAAGATGGTCATATGAATCACAGCCACAAAGGACAGAGACCTGTAGCCCTGGAGCATAGATGACCCTAATATGTCCAGACCAAGAACTTCGACAACTTACTGTACAGTACATGATATGTGCAGCACTTCAAAATAAAAGCACTATTATATTATTATGTTTTGCTATTGCAGCAGATATGATAAAAATCTGGGTGGTATCAAGGGAAAATTATTCTTTTTTTTAGGAAAAACTTATATCACCTTATTATACCTATATAGAAAAGCTGAAGTGATATAAAAGGGAAACTGTCTGACAAACRCATATTAGCTTTTTCTTTTTTATTCATATTTTAAAACCAGACCAATAGTTTGCTTGGTAGGCATTTGTAGCAAACACTGACATAGCTGAATTTGCTCTTTGTTTTAAATAATTTCTCAATAATAATTGTTTGATTAAAATAAAATCACATTGTTGGCATCAGTTATCTGGTAGCTACTGTTTTTTTTTTTTTCATTGTACAGTACTGTGCAATACTGCAACCTCAGTATTGTGAAACAAAATATTTTATGATGTTGAATTTTCAGTTTTTAAAAGGAATATATTGCCCTGCATTTGCACTGAACAAAAACTCTTTGCTGAGCTGAGGCTGTTAGCAAATTGATTTGAAAATCTCTAATTTATAATTTATTATGCAAAATGAATTAAAAAAAACTTTGTAATCCTGAAAAAAATGTTTTCTTCAAAAGTAAGAAATAAAATCTAATCAAGTATTCTGATCTTACGACAGTGTACAATAACTTGCAACGCCAGCAAGTGGAGGGCTTCTGCTCTATTTAAAGTGTTTTAAGTCATTCCGCCGCATTTTCAAGTCCTTTAAGTGAAATTGCAAACATCATCTCACAATATGAATGAGAATAAGTTCACAACTTACCCTCTCCAGGTGTTCCAGTTTCTCTGAAATATCCAAAAGTCTGCTACGGTGTCTTTTTTTTCTTCAAAGCATGTAACAATGACAACAGAAAGAGAAGGGAGCAGAGAAAGATAGACCTGTAGCAAAGAGAGAGAGAAAATAAAAAAGAAAAGGGCGGTAACAGGGGGGAGGTGGATGGGGGGGGGGTCAAAAGAGAGAGACTATGATGGAGGAAGAGCCTAAATAATCCATCTGTGATCCAGGAGGAGGCATCAGATGGGGAGCATACAAATCACAAACCTTCCTCTGCAGCAAGCAGGGTCCAATATCCTCAGGGTCCTAAGGCTCCACTCTCAAACACTGACACTTCACWCTCAGTGTCAGGATAAAAAGTAAATTCCACCAGTTAAAAATACATATATTTGGTTATTTTATTATTACAGCTCATTACAAAAGCTTAAGAAGTTTTATTTTCTGTTCAATAACAGTGTTGTCTTGAAGCTTGAAATAAAAGTTTGCTGCAATTCAATATCTGTTATAATTTAAGCTTTTTATTTTATTTATTTATTTTTTCCATGAACCAGCTCCAGCTGCAGCAAAGCACAGAAAACTGCAGTGTGGAAACATCTTTTTACCACGGTTCACAATCAGAAAAGTATTCCACCGGGGCCATGTTTACCTGCAGCAAAAAGCCTCTCTCCTGCACTCTGAAATTAAACTGAAATGTTTTTTTATCCATTTATGTTTTCAACATCCTCCATCCTGTGCAGGCTCTTTGTGCACACTTGGTGGCTTTGGAACAAATCTTTTTTTCTGTTTCTTTCTTACCTTTTGAATAATTTGTGTGGATTTGTGTCACATTGATAGTTTTCCCAATAATTGATTCTGTTATTGTTAATTGAAAACAGCTTTCACAGTGATTGATGAACGCATCATCTTCTTGGTAATGATGTGTAACATACAGAGAATTGATCCAAGACATTGCTCAGCAGCTATTTGCTCAGTTTAGTGAATTATTAGCTCAGTAGATTAAGCTAAACTAAATGTTTAGTCATGCTCATCTTCTGTCCCAAGCATTTAGAATCATAAATGAGAAGATTTATTGTAAGTCAAGAACAGGTTAAAGAGGCTTATTAATTTGGTCCTCCTGACAGTATTACCAAATAGATGGTGAGAACCTGAAGAGGAACACTACAGTGTGTGACACAAAGACAATATTTTCTTTTCAGCTGCACCCTTATCGTGAGTGCTCTTATCGAGATTCTTCATCTAACTCAGCAGTCCGGTTTTTGAATTAACCTCAAGTCAATATCATGGCCATCGATCATGCTGACAGGAGCCGACTTGTGAGTGTGACATTGGGAAGATAATCATCTCAAGAGGAAAACGTTGTCTCCTCTGGCAAGAATGCTGCTTCGCTGATTAGAACGACTGAACCACTTGTGGTTGGAGACTGAGGTGAGACAGAAAAAAGACAGAGGCGGTGACAACCGTTAATCAGAAAAATGCACTGGATGCAGTTCAACGCTTAGCTGCTTGCAGATGCTTTTGTTCTTTGTCACCATAGTGTATCAACATATTAACAAATGCCACACCATGGCATAGCCACAAAATTACATGCTGCATTTATGACAAACTGTGAGAATAAATACACACCCAAACTTTATCTGATTTTATTTCAGGCGGGTGAGTTATTCTCCTTTGTGTGTATAAACAACTATTATTTCAAAGTTTGTGCAATACTAAAATCAGCCACAAGAAGGCCTATTGCTCAGGTGGAGGGCAACACTGCCTCGAGGTACAATCAAATTTTGAACAAGATCATTCTATTTATGTTTTGTTTTTTTACATTTACTGTATATGGGTTAAAAGTACCCAAAAACAGTCATAATGCTGAGCTGTTAAGAGTTGTTATGGATGAATTTCACTGTTACCAGACTTGTAAGTTTACAGGATGTAGAACATTCTTGGCCAATTTGGTGCCTCAGGCAAATATTGAAGTGACACCCACAAAATCTCAAAAACCAAGGATGCATCCGAGTATCTTTCCCGACCAAATATATCCCAGGATTCAATGCACTGCCATCAAATTAACCAGAGAAACGAAGAGGGAGGAATTTTTTTTATCAAGTTGGTGTAGTTTGGCAATTCATCATGAGCCAAATAATTAGTTTTTAAATGTAAGTTTTGCAAATTAGATGATGTACTTCACTGTGCAATAAGATGTTAAATAAAATGCAACTACAAGTACTGATACTGGAGCTAAACCCAAGTTATTAATGTTTTTTTTGTAACATCTTAATTGTGAAGTTATTCTTACAGTGACAAGAAGCATAAATAATACATGTCCCGACACATTTTAAATCTGACACAAAACCTATCACTATATGGTAACTGTACAGAGTGCAGTCACAAACTTGCGTCAAGTGAAGGTTAGACCGTCTCATTTCACAGCAGTTTCATGCAGCCTACCCAAACTGGGAAGGCTGTGGCCCAGCTGGGCTACATGCTCATGAGGATGCAGCCCGAGACATGGCCAGAGACTCAGAATGTAAACCACCAACACTTGTGAGGGAGAGGTGAGAGTGGGAGGGATCAGAGCAGAAACAAGAGGTAGGTATACACACACACACACACACACACACACACACACACACACACACACACACACACACACAAAATGGGGAATACAGAAACACTGGAAAATATCAACAATAAACAAATCACAGAAAAGATTGCAAACACAGATCCTCACAGACAATTACATTGAAGTGTATCTTTTCACATTTCAGCCTAATTTTGACACCAATAAATATATTTTATATTTGTCTTTTTCCTATTAAATATGAGGTCTTTTCACTTTTCAACCAAATTTAGACCCATGGAAGCCTGCATGTCATTGTTTTTGGCTACATCGCTGACAAGTCAACTTTTCCACATTATAAGAAAAATACCTTTTTGTATAAGACAGCCCTTCTTCTTTTGCTTTAAACCCAATTTACTTGTAGTAAATAAATGGCAAAGTTGTCTTTTTTTTTCATTTAAAAAAGACAAGAACAAGAGGGATTCCATTTACTTATTTTATTAAACAGGTGGAAATAATTGTAAGCAGATTGTATCATATTAGCTTTACTAAGCTTTAAAAAATTAATAAATGAAAACCTGGCTCTCCTGAAGTTTAGTAAAACTACAGCCGAATAATAAAATAATGAAAATTATGAATAAATAAAATAACATCTACATGCCACTCTACATCCAACTGAATAGAAATAAAAACTGTAAAATGTGAAACATCCTAAGTGGGTTTATGCTTTTTTTAATGATGTGTTTGTTCTATTTTTATTCTAATTAAAGTTAAAAAAATGTTTCATGTTAGCTTGAATAAACTTAATTACATTTTGTTTTGTTTCATTATTGGCCWCTGTCTTAATATCTGTCATGTCTGTAATAACTTCAGCTCAGGGCTTTTATGATTTTTAAATAAAAAGTGTGTATCTTTCACTCTGTGCCCTCAAATGTTATTAGCACTTTGAATTAACAGATTGCTGCTAAGAAAACAAATTTCTGGAGAAAAATTACACCCACATACAGTACATGAAAAGCTTCAAATCAAAAATAACTCTAATTTGCTAAACACCTGAAATTACTTGTTTTTATGTTAGAAGTCATTCATATGGTAATACTTTAGCCTTGTTCCTGACTGACACTTAAGCATCCACATGGTCCAGGAGCCAAACAAAGCTATTTTTATGAACGAAACCATCATACGAGAGCTGCGCGGCGAATCTGTGAGAATGCAATCCAGGTGTCACCGCCCCTTGGTAATCTCTCACGTCTTCCAGAATTCATTTTCTCTGCAGCTTCACTTGAAAATGACATTCTGACACCATTTACATGGAAATCACTTTGGGTCCTCATCTGCAAAAGTGGTCCACGCGCAGACAGAACCTCTCTGAGGGCAGGACTCTAAATGGACGTAAACAAAAGAAAGAAAGAAAGAAAGAAAGAAAGAAAGAAAGAAAGAAAGAAAGAAAGAAAGAAAGAAAGAAAGAAAGAANAAGAAAGAAAGAAAGAAAGAAAGAAAGAAAGAAAGAAAGAAAGAAAGAAAGAAAGAAAGAAAGAAAGAAAGAAAGAAAGAAAGAAAGAAAAAGAAATGAGTGAACAGGCTAAAGTCAAGGGCAGAGCTTTAGGTATTAAAGGATAAAGTAGCAATGGAGACAGTGAGGGAAAGCATAATGTGGGAAATACCTTTTTCTTTTCTTTTCTTTTTTGAAATGCAGGTGCCCTTTCCAACACACACACAAACACAACCATCATAGAAAAGAGATGTAAAGATTTTCCCTCAAAGGAGAGAAATCCTCCCACTAAGCTTGGAGTCGAGTGGGAGTTAAAGGGGAATGCATATAATGTTTAATGTATGGTTTCAGGATTTACCTCCCCTTGAATGAAAAACCTATGAATACAGAAGCTGCCCTGTCTTGTTAAGATCAATCATTTCTCTGTGGTGGTCATGACAAGTCAAACCTGTGATGTGAAAAATGTGTGAACTTTCACAACCTTCACTGTGGTGAAGGAAAAGATTGAAAGGTTGATTTTAGTACAATCATAGATGTGTCTCAAGATCCATAAGGGCAAATAGGCAATTTATTGTACATGTTTAAAAATAAAAGAAGAAAAATGTATGGAAAATGTCACCTGAGACATCAAACACACTGGCTATTCAGTGACAAAATAAAAGCTGTGCACACATACCACAACCCAAATATGGGATTACTTCATTCATTATGAATCCATCCAATCCATCACAATGTATCAGAGCTTGATACATTTCTGTTTAAACATAAAAATGAAATCAAATTTCTGTGATTGGATTAACTGCCTTCATCTGGCTTTACAAGTGCACTTAGGAACCATTTCACAATCCTGACGCTATGTTTTCATGTTTTTTCTAATAAATATTCAATTACATGGAATCACATTTTGTATTAATCTAACTCTTCACACACAAAAAAGATAAATCAGGTCTTTCAAATGGGAACTGCAGAAAAGTTACAAATAATGTCTTACCTGTTGTAGATCGCTCTGTAAGGGATCTCACATTAGAGAAAAATGCTGTGTCCAAACTCAACAGCTGCATCCTTTGAAGGACAAATTTGAAGGCTGATTATGTCACAGCGATGTGCCGAAGGTGGTCCAAATTTGATGCATCATCCATTTGTGGCCCACAAATGCATCCTAAATAAAAATCTTGTAGTACAAAATTGAAAGTTTAAAGCAGTTGTGTTGTTTGGCTTTTGTCGTTTGCATAGACATGTTTTTTAATATTATTCTTGTCAGAAATCATTGTAAACAAGCTTATGTGACAGGTCACTTACTTCTTTATGTAATGCCTCCAAGCTAATTTTGTTAATATATAATATAATAATATTGCTATAATAATATTATGCTGTATTTTGGTATATTTTTGATCTTCAATGTGGGTCTGGTTTTCCCTCTCCTCTCTAATTCARGATGACAACTCAACAAGTCCATCAACCTGCATTTTAAATCTGGCTCAGACCTTTATAGTGAATTATTGCTCTTCTTATTTATGTTTTACCAGTGGTTTTTAAACAAGATTTTCAGTACTCAGTTCAGTCCTGTTCTCCTCTTTGTTGCATCACTGGTCTGTAAAAGCAGAAACAGAAGGTTGGAATGACTGAATCATTTGGAGCAGTTGTTCCTCAAAAAGGTTTAATCTTATGGAGCATTTTAGAACACCTCACCACAGCATCACCTGGTGGCCAAATGAATTCAAGCTGCAATAAGTTTCTCACATATTCGGCACAATACAATCTTTACACTGAGAAATGAAACAATTTTTCTATTTCCCATCACATAACCAAATTAAATAACTTAAATAATAAAAAATGAACTTATCACTGAAAACAAGAAAACAGTAAATACAGGTCAAACTTTTTCTTGATTCTTGTTATTGTATTGCAGTGAGACAAATAACCCCAGCTTAGCTATTATTTTATCAGTATATCGTATGTAGTTTTGAAATATTACACTGAATAAAATGTAGAATGTGTCTCTCAGTTTATATATATATAGGCCTATATTGCTTTATATGTATTAGCTTGGTGCTAGTGCGACAAACAAACTGAGGTCCTCCATCCATATTTTCAGTTGTAGACTGAGTCATTTTTGCGTTCCCCTCTCTGTCATGTGGATGGAGGACCTCAGTGATGAGAGGAGAATGTGTAGCGCTGAGCTAATACATATATATGGTGATATAGCGTCGGGGCTAATGCTAAAGCTAACAGGCTAAGCTGAGGTTCTTCTTCCATGAAGCAGCTCTGTTGTCC